CAACTCTACGCCAGAGCCGGCCACTCCCTTGAGGACATGTTGCTGGACTGCCGCTATCGTGGCCAGCCCTGTGGGCCTGAGAACTTCACAGTGGTGAGCCAGCTGCCCTAAGACTTGGCATCTACAATCTTCAGCCTTGTCCCCCAAAACAGGGAACCTTAACACCCCTTGCCTGGGTATTCTTTCCTTTCTGCCAGCCACAGGCTTTCGATCCACCAAGCCCTTCTGCCTAGTCCAGGAAGTAACCTCTGGAGATTCTCTCCATTTCATAATTAGACATCTGTGCACCTGGCCATGCCTCTCTGTAAGGACACTGACCCACTCAGGCTGCAGGGCCAGGGCTAGCTGGTGGATACACTGCTCCTAGGGTAAAATTAAATAGCCTGGGAATATTCTGGGGCAGAAGACCCCTATCTGCTAGGACTTTCCTCTGTCTAATGTGAATCTTGCCACCCCAAAGGAGGACAATAATAGATCCATTTCTTTTTGTTCCAATTATCCCTGTAGGCTGCAGCCAGGGCTTTGGTGAGAGGCAGGGGAGTTGGAGTGAGTAGGGAGGTTTCCCACTCCACATGTCTGTATGTGAGGCTAAGGGCATTGAGATGTGGGCTTCAGGGTTCTTTCTGGGAGAGTGGGAGAACTGCATGAGACCCGGGATCAAAAAGTCCAAAACAAAAGACAAGTACAGTAGTGCAAACTTTTAATCCCAGAACTTGGGAAGCAGAGTCAGGAGGAGCCCTGAGTTCCAGGACAGCCTCGTCCACACAACATAGCAAGTCTCAGGACTACATAGAGAGAATGTGTCTCAAAAAATAAAGAAAGGAAGGAAGAAAAGAAAAGAAGACATAAAGAGAAAAAAGACTCAAGAAGGTTAGGGCAGGGTAAAAATTCAGCTAGGTCACCTAGATTTAGTAACCTAGGTCCAGTCCCCACCCCCCACACCAGGTACTTAGATAACACATTGAGAGGAGGAAATCCATCCAAGGATTTGTCACTGGGTATGGTGGTTCATGCCTGTGATCCCAACATTTGATATTTGGAGGCAGAATAACCAGGAATTTGAGGTCATCTCAGCTACATAGCAAGCACCAGAAGAGCTCAGGCTAATGCTGCCCCACAAAGAAAAATCCCCAAACAACAAAGACAAAGAGAAGGGACTCAAGGAGGGGAGTGTCCCCATGGCCGAGGCTTGTGTAAGCAAGGGGCTATCCTTTTCTGACCCCAGATCTTCACTCGAATGGGGCAGTGCTACACCTTCAACTCCGGTGCCCATGGGGCAGAGCTGCTCACCACGCCGAAGGGGGGTGCTGGCAATGGGTTGGAGATTATGTTGGATGTACAGCAGGAGGAGTATCTACCCATCTGGAAGGACATGGGTGAGGGGCACAGGGTCATTTGCTTGTGAGGAGGGATGAGGGTGGAGGCATGCATGAGGCTGGGAAATCACAGGGACCATGGGAAGGAAGGAGAAGAGACAGGTGTGTAGGGAGGAGTTCCAAAGCAGGTCTTGAGAGAGGAGGCAAGGCTGGCTCTTCTAAATCCTGAGAAGAGGGACTGCCAAGGGAGCCGAGTGTCTAAGGCCTTAAAGGCCCCTCCTTGCAGAAGAGACCCCGTTCGAAGTGGGGATTCGAGTGCAGATCCACAGCCAGGAGGAGCCCCCTGCCATTGACCAGCTGGGGTTTGGGGCAGCGCCAGGCCATCAGACTTTTGTGTCCTGCCAGCAGCAGCAAGTATGTTGGTTCAAATGCCTGTGTCTCCCACTCTTCCCAAACTCCTACTCTTCTCTGAAAACCCTCAGACCCCAAACCACAGGCCTCAGCTTGTCCCTGGGGCTGTCACTCCAGCAACCTCTATTAATCCAGTCTCCTTAACTTTAACTTTGTCCCTCCACAGCTGAGCTTCCTGCCACCACCCTGGGGTGACTGCAATACTGCATCTGTAGATCCTGACTTTGATCCCGAACCCTCTGATCCCCTGGGTTCCCCTAGCCTCAGCCCCAGCCCTTCTTATAGTTTAATAGGGTGTCGCCTGGCCTGTGAGACCCGCTATGTGGCTCGGAAATGTGGATGCAGGATGATGCATATGCCTGGTAAGTGGCTGGGGTCTGTTGGGAGCAGGGAATGGGCGTACCCTAGGGGGCGCTCCCGGGCTCCCGGACCGCTCTCATTTTATATCCTAGGAAACTCGCCAGTGTGCAGCCCCCAGCAGTACAAGGACTGTGCCAGCCCAGCTCTGGGTAAGGGCACGTCTCTTCGGAGTCCCTGACCCCATCCACTAGGCCGTTGATCCCAATCCTCAGGCACAGTGGCCCTGATCCCTGCTTTGCGGCCTGCCTGCAGACGCCATGCTGAGAAAGGACACGTGTGTCTGTCCCAATCCATGCACCACCACGCGCTACGCCAAGGAGCTCTCCATGGTGCGGATTCCTAGCCGAGCTTCAGCTCGCTACTTGGCCCAGAAATACAACCGCAGCGAGACCTACATCGCGTGAGCGAGGGATGGTAGCAAGGCTGGAGGCACTGCGCCTGAGTCAAAGGGCTCCTAGCAGGGAACTGAACCAGAGCCCTTCTGCACACAGCCCAGGCTGCATTCATCTACACATTATAACTGGTTTTGGGACTCTGGGCAAACTGCTTAAACTTTCTGACTCGGGGGATGGAAATAACCCAAGGTTCTCGAAAGGGGCCAGAATACCAGGTGGTGTCCAGTCAACAATTTGGCTTTCTTTTCCTCCAGGGAGAACGTCCTGGTTTTGGACATCTTCTTTGAGGCCCTCAACTATGAGGCAGTAGAGCAGAAGGCAGCCTACGAAGTGTCGGAGCTGTTGGGTGTGTATGGAGTGCCTGGGTCCGCAGAGGTGTAGATGGGGCAGGGCACTGTGAGTTGATGGCAGCACTCTGCCTCCACAGGAGACATTGGGGGACAGATGGGACTGTTTATTGGAGCCAGCCTACTTACCATCCTCGAGATCCTTGACTACCTTTGTGAGGTGGGATAGAAACCCAGGCACAATGGGGAGGGAACAGGCCACAAGTTCCCAGGGAGGTGGATGTTGGCCACCCACTCCTGCCACTCGCCCCCAGGTTTTCCAAGACAGAGTCCTGGGGTATTTCTGGAACAGAAGGAGCTCTCAACGACGCTCTGGCAGTACTCTGGTAACTGTCCCCTTGCCTTCCCCCACAGCAGCATTGTAGGCCTCACCCCAAATCTTAAACATTTGGTCTAGGACCTATGTGCAGCCACCTTGGCTGGTGTCCATCTGACGTTCCCTTTGCCCACAGCTTCAGGAAGGGTTGAATGGCCATCGAACACACGTTCCTCACCTCAGCCTGGGCTCCAGGTAATATGAGATACGCCCCATAAGGTCAAGGGACAGGACAGGTCGAGGAGGACATTCAGGTCTACAGCAGAATAGGTGGAGGGCCCTGCCCCAATGCTGTGGCTTCTCCCACCAGGCCTCCTACCCCTCCCTGTGCTGTTACCAACACACCCTCTGCCTCCCACCGTTCCTGTTACCTCGTCACAAGGCTCTAGAGCAGCTGTGACCACTTGGCTGCACCGTGACCTCCTGGACATGTCTTTGCTGTCTTCACCCTAATAAAGCTCTAGCGCATGTATCTCGGGTGTTTGCCTTACAGATCAGACACTAGCACAGTCAATGACAGCCTCCCCGTCTCCATCCATTGTCCAGTTGGGACCTGGGTCCCAGTTAGGCTTTACAACTCTCTGGGGGGGGGGTAATCTTAGAAGATCAATCATTGCACCTTAGTATTGATGAGCTTATCAAACCCATTTTAAATTTTTTTTTTTTTTTTTTTTGGAGTAATGGGGACTGAGTCCAGGGGCTGCAGGACTCCTGCTATGCAAGTGTTGTCCCACAGAAATATATCCCCATCACTTTTGTTCTTCTGAGGCAGGGTCTCATATACTCAAGTTGGGGTGAACTGAACAGCCAAGGATGATCTTGACCTAATCTTTCTGCCCACACCTACCAAATGTTGACATTATAGGCATACACCACATTTGGCTTCCCAGCACTTTTTGTATCTTGTTTATTTAGAAACAGAGTCTCACTAAATTACCCAGATTGACCTCACACTCCGCTACCCACACTGGCCTTACAGCTCTTCTGCCTCAGGCTTGCTGGTAGCTTGGAATACAGGCTTGTACCACCAGTCCTACCTATCAACATCTAAGAAGGCAGTCTCTCCATGCCCAGAGCTCAGATGTGATGACCCACAGTGGGCATGGTCAGTAGGTATTCACTGCACCAACAGTGTAAGCCAGAACGAGGTTCTAACTAGCTCAGTAAGAGGTGGAACTGGGAGGTTAACTAAAGGACCTAGTCCATGTGCAAGAACACAAGTTGGTGTCCTGCCTCCAAAAGTCATGCTATGGGAAGGTTCTTGCCTTTCCAACCTCTCCACAGGAGCTGGCAGCCTACTTGAGACAGTGGGATGCCTTTCCCTTCCTGCCAAGAGGGTACCAGCAGACCTCTGCCTCAGCTCCAGCTTCCTTCGTTTACTGTACCCCAACCACGGGAAAACTGGCAAACAGGGACTGGGAAGTGCTGTTCTTATGAAAGAGACCCACGCAGCTCTGGGTCTTCTGCCCCAGCCTAGAATTCTGAGTGTGAAAATGGAGATGGAAGGCTCTATACTGAATGTGGAGATACCCACAGAGAGGCCTGGTCCATTCTCCCCATTCTGGTAGATGCACTCAAGCCAGTGGCATCCTACCTCAGAACTATATTTGGCTCTGCTAAGCAGAAGAAAAGTGTTCAGGAGTATACAAGCCTGCGTGTGGAGACAGGGCTGCCATGATACAGTCAAAAGGTTAGAGATCATGCCCTCCTGTCCCTAGTCTCAGGACATGTAAAGAGGCAGAGCAGACAGGGAGCAGCTCATTGTACAAACTGTAGGCAGGGTCACAGAGGGTGGTAAGTCAGAAGAGGGGTCCCCAGCCACCCTCAGAGCCACCCCACCACCACATCAGCAGACTGTGGGAAAGGAGCCAATTTATGAAATTAAATAAAGTCCATGGAGGGAGTGAAAACCGTGGGCCAGAGTAACTCTACCCTGGCTGGGCCCAGCACAGCTGGTGCTCAGCATCCCACACCCCACTTTTCCACCCTTCTGTGAGGGAAGCTTAAATAGGTCAGGCCCCAGCCTGGCCACCAGGGGTCAGAGAGCCTATGGGGGACAGAAGTCAGAGAAGTATGGGTGCTGCAAGGCCTCCTCTGCTGAGATGCGCTGCACAGGGTTACACTTCAATAGGTTCTGCGGGTGGGAAGAAAGGCAGAGACAAACTCAGACCAGGACAGCCCACCATCATTTTGTCCCTCTGGGCAAGCACCACAATCCCCAGTTTTTAATCCTGGGCAGGCAAATATCCCCATCTGCTTCTACTCTTAGGCACCTACCTGCAACAGGTCTCTCCCTGTGGCATTGAGCTTGGGTACGACGTTCACCAAGGATGTCGTAGCTGGGTACATTGGGTAGGGCTGCAGAGGAGGGCCAGGTAGAGTCAGGCCAGAGGTATGGAGCAGAGTTGGAAAACAAAAGGGGCTTCTAATGAACCAAGACCTCCCATAGATAGTCACACCTTATAGTCTGGCAGCTTGGTCATGGCGGGCCATTGTTCCTCAGTCGGTGTCCCTAGCAGTGTATCCATGTGGTCAAGGGTCACTTGTGGGGAGGATTGCACCTACACCTTAGGGACAAGGGGGAGGATTCCTCACTCCCTCCTACCCTTCTCTTACACTATCTTGCTCTATCCCCCCAGAACAGCCTGAGATGAACCCCATTTTTAGGTGTTTACAATGGACTAGGAAAATCCAATCTCTGATGCTTACAGTCCAAACAGACCAGCCATTTTCTCCAAGAACCACTACTCGTTTACCCTAAGGCCAACTACCTCATCAGGTGTGCCTCCTTACCATCAGGCTACATCTCTCCACAGTGTGATGATCCTATGCAAGGACAATGTGGAGGGCAAGCAATGGCTAATTCTCACCCCTGCTCTAAGCTCTATGCCCACTCCCTTTCTACAAAGAAGTGAAGGACAGTAGGCTTGGGGCACTGGAAGGATATCGAAAAATCCTCTTCAGCTGGTCATCCACATCATTGCCAGGGAAGAGAGGCCGCCCAGCATTAGCCAGTTCTGAGAAGAAAACAGGGATACAATAGAGCACATAAAGGACCTGTCATTCTAAGGTGCCCCTGTGCCTTCCAGTCCCAGCCCCAGAAGCCCCTCTCCCTCCCCTCACAAAAAATCCTCCAGACCCTATTTATTAGCCCAACTGGGAAAGAAAGTATCTCAGCAGAACCCCAATGTGTCACCTGCAAAGATGCAGCCGGCTGACCACATGTCGATGGACGTGGAGTACAGCTTGGCCCCAAAGAGGACATCCGGTGGGCGGTACCACAGCGTGACCACCTGGAGAAGACCCCACCCACAGGGACCCCCCTCCCACTTAGAGAGCTCAAAGGAGGTCCAGGAGGCGGCTCAGATAGCAGAAGCAACAATGTGGTATAGAGAGCCACTGGGGACCTCCCTCCCATCAATCTCATATACCACCTCCCAGGCTCACCTCAGCAGAGTAACAGCGGACTGGGATACCAAAGGCTCGAGCCAGGCCAAAATCAGCCAATTTCAACTCCCCATTCTGAGGGGGGATAACACAAAGAGGACATGGAGAAGACTTTTAAATGATTTAAGACAGGCTCCAGCTTCCGTCTCCCCATCCTGCTCCCTCAATGCTCCCCATCCCTGGCTCCAGCTTCTGCATTCTCACTCCCAGCAAAATACCCTGTTTATGAGCAGGTTCTGGGGCTTCAGATCCCTGTGCAGCACGTTTCGGCTGTGACAGAATCCCAGGCCTTTCAGCAGCTGGAAGAGGAAGGACTGGGGAGAGGCAGGGAAGAGGGAATCAGACCCACTGTGTTCTATAGCCCATATGACTTGCAGCAAGTCAAGAGGTCTATCCAACTACTCTGTAAAAGTGTGTGTGTACACGTGTGTGCCCGTGGAAGCCAAAAGAAGGGGTAGAGTCTCCTGGAACTAAGTTATAGGTAGTTGTGAGCCACTCAATACGAATACTGGGAACAGAGTCCTCTGTGAGAGCAGCAAGTGCTCTTAACAACTGAAGCATCTTTTCAGCCTCTCATCTAGTTACTTTTGAGAACCTGCTTTGCATGTACTGGGTAGTAGAGGTACAACAGTAACCAAGTTTTCCTTACTCCTCACACCTTTCTGGACTGATAGGTTGCTGGGCCTTCCTGCATCTCCATGCTGGTCTCCCTTACCTGTCTGCAATTTAGCACACACCCCATGACCATCAACACAAATACAAAGCTACAGTATTACTCAGGACCTGATTCCAACTGGGCCAAGGTACTTACTTGGTCTTGGGCCTAGAACAATGGCTGATGCAAAGCAAAACCTACAGCAAATATTTGTTTTGTTGGCCTTTCTCTCTTTTTTGCTCTCTCTCTCTCTCTCTTTCTCTCTCTCTCTCTCTCTCGGTTTACTTAACTTTTAAATTTTGTACGTGTGTGAGCAGGGGGAATGTGTGCATGAGAGTGCAGGTGTCCTTGGAGGTCAAAAGTTGGTACTGGGTCCCCTGGGTCTGGAGTTACAAGTGTTTGTGAGCCACCTCATGTAGGTGTTGGGAACTGAACTCATATCTGCAAGAGTAATATGTGTTAACTGCTGAGCCATCACTCTAATCCTTTTGTTTTGTTTTTGCCCTAGTGTATGAGGCAAGGCCCTGCTATGTCACTCAGGCTGGTTTTGAACTTGAGACCCTCCTGCCTCAGATTTCTGAGTGCTAAAGTTAGATGTATAAAACACTAGTATTTGTTGAATCCATGAGATATTTCTCATGTGTCTCATCTCTCGAGTGCACATAACATCATTGAAATTAGATACTGTGCAAGTCAAAGGAGACCACATAAAAATGTTCACTAAAACTAGTAGCCCTTGGAAGGCAGAAACATATTATCTCTGGTACTCCAGGAGCTCAACCTGTTCCTCAAGGAGTGCTGCTACTGTAGGCGCACCCAAGCTCCACGAATCCCTAGTCACTTCTTCCCTCACCTTCACAATCTCAGGGTCCAGGTCACCATTGCAGCTGTCGAAATATTTCTTCAGGTCCTAAACAGAGATGGGGGTGTAGAGAAAAGGACAGAGTTCAACTTTAGTCTGGACTCCATTAATCTCCCATGATTACTAACTTCCCCCACCCCAGCCCTTCTTTCACCTGATCACAGAACTCAAAAACCAAAGTCAGCTTCTTATCACTATGCAGGACATCATGAAGCCTAGAGAGAATGAAAAGCTCAGCCAGATACCCAAGTTGGCCTCCAGCTTCCCAATACCAGCCCAGTCTAATGGGGTTCTGTCTCCTCCAACAGACCTCACCTGACAATGTTTTTGTGCTTCAGTTCCTTGAGCAGACAGATCTCCCGGAGGGCTGAACTTGGCACACCCTATAGTATGCAAGGGGACAATAGTCACGGCCCACCCAAAATAGCCCTTTCACCCCATGCCTCAGTCCTACCTCATCGTCATCATCCAGCCTGACACGCTTCAGAGCCACAATCTCATGGGTTTCCCGGTTTTTGGCCTTGAACACAGTTCCATAGGTGCCTAGGGGAAGGTCGGGGGTGAGGGAGAGGATCCTTCTCAACATCTTAGTGTATAAAGGCAAGTTTTCAGGTGAAGGCTAGGTATGGAGTAGTTTTGTGAGCGAGGATGCTGAGGTGGAGGTGACTAAAAAAGCTCAAGGCTCCAGCAGGGAGAATCTGCCACATGCCCGGGGGTGGGGGTGGGGTCGGGAAGTAGCAAGGAGTCATATAGGAGAGCAGTGAAGGCCTGCAAAAATGTTAAGGTTGGAGATTCTGCAGTGAATTGAAGCAGGTGTTCCAGGTGAGATTTGCAAGTGATGCTGGGCTAGGGGGTGAGAAATGCAGGAAGTGCCGCGGCTAGGAAGACCGGTCCACAGAGACTAAAGCTAGGAGCAAGAGTTTGCCGCAGATGCTAACACAGGGAGAAGGGCTGGTGTCTGCACCGAGTGTTGGACTCAGCGGCCAGGGCTTTTGCCCAGTGCTGAGGTCGGAGCCTGCAGGTATAGTTGACGGTAAGGGAGCTGGGACTGCAAGCAGGGTCTTCAGAAAAGGACCTTTCAGGAACATCTTGTGGTTCCATTACCTTCCCCAATCTTCTCCAGTTTCTCGTATTTCTGCATCGCAGCGGCCGCGGGGACCCCTGCGGGCCCTCGGTTCTAAGACTCCCGGCCCCGGCGTTGCAGAGGAGGTGGCACCCACAGCTCCAGCCCCGCCCACCCACTCCCCCGCGCACAGACTTCTGGGACTTGTAGTTCCGGGGTGGCCATGTTTCCCAAGAATGCCCGTAACGGAGGGCACGAGGACTACAAAGTCCAACAGGCCACTCTCGGACTCTATGCAGTGATCAACTCCCGGGACTCGTTTCCACCGCGGAGGCAAACCTTAAACTTCAACTCCCAGGAAGCATCGCGTGTCCGCTTTTCGGGCGTCTCCGCCAAGGCGCGGAGGCTCCCAGTGTGCCCCGCTCTTGTTATTATTCCTTTTCTGTGCTCACAGCCTTCCAGAAAAAGGCCGCTCCGGGACTACGCGTTCCAGAATACAGTGAGGGTGGGGGTGGGGTACTCTATGCTTGAAGTTTGCGTTTCACGGCCTAGATCCTTGGCGCTGTTGTCCCGGCTCTGACCTGGTTGGGTGTATTGAGTCACCAGCGACCTCCTGACAGCTTCAGCACTAGTTTCCACCTCTCCCTAGGCCACCTGGTGACCCCAAGACTGATTGGGGAATGATTCTGAGCGATGCTTTACTGCTGATGACCTCACAGGGACCAGCTGACCACAGGGCATCGAGACAGGTGTGCCCCCATTAGAGGCTGGATTTGAGTGGAGGGACACACGCCAGAGCCTCTTTCTGCTGGGCCCATTTTATCGTCTCGAAAGCCACCGGACTCCAGCGGCTCCACTTTGACATGCCGAGGCCAGCTGACTGGAGCCTGGGTGCCCCCCAGATCCCAGGCTTCAGAGCAGGCCCACTGGAGTCAGCCAGGGTGTGGCCCACGAGGACTGGCAGGTCAGTTAACCCCTCTCAGCAGACAAGACCACAGACAGATGCTACACTTGGAGCAAGCAGCCTTTACCTCACCCCGCAAAGGAGTTGATTATAGATTTTCTTGCACTGCTCTCTAATTGTCTCATGATTGCATTCTTGAGGGATGAAAACGGCTCCAAACAGCATTCCTCCGCGCCGGAACCAGAGTAGCGCTAACTATTTGTTAATTAACTTACTTAAATCTGAGTGCTTTTGCATAAACGACATTGTGATTCGCCCACGTGGCAGACTGAAAGACGCATAAAGTGCATTCTTTATCTGAAATAATTGGTGATTTAGTTGAGAAAACAGGATGACACGCAAAGGTCTTTAAAATTCGTAGTGTCGACTACGAGTAAGGGTGCCTGCCATTCAGCGGGGATGTAGTTCTAGCGAAAGGCAGGAGTCCTCAACAAGTTGTCCTGTTTTCCATCGGTTCAGGGTCACGGTCACCCAAGCGTCATTACCCCTCACATTCTCGTGCCATGCTTTCTCTCAGGCAGACACCAGGGCTTTCTTGGAGGCAGTGGGGTTATTTGAACGGGAACCCTGCAGAGCCTTAACGGCGGAGAATCTGTAGTTCAACTCCCTGAACATCCATTTCCTGGCCATACTCCACTCCCTCGATTCCCAACGTGAAGCTGACTCCTTTTCTCCCAGAGATGGCTCACTAGAGCCAAAAGAGGACGTCCCCGGAGTCTTGCCGGGCGTGTGTGTGGAGGAGACGGGCTGGGTGCCGCGCCGGCGGTGTCGGGCAGTGCCTGGGAGCGCGCTCCCGCCGCGGAGTCTCAGCGCCCGCTCTCCGCCTCTCAGCTAGCCGCGCCGGGGCCGCGCACGGCGCTCTGCGGGGGGCGCGCACGCTGGAGGCTGGCCTGCCCGCGGCGCGGGGGAAAGTTGAGTTGGGAGAAGTTGGGAGCGGCGGGGACGCGCCCCGGGGTGGGCACCGGGAAGTCGTCGGGAGCGCGCGAGGGTTCCGAAGGATCAGGGGAGACCCGGAGACCCCCGGGACACGAAATCCAGAGCTAGCGGGTAAGCAGATAGGTGGGGGAGGGGGAGGGCCGCAAGAGGGGGGGAGCTTGAGACTTGAGCGCCGAGGGAGTGGAAGTGGAGGAAAGGGCGGGGACTGGGGCGCAGGGAGCGAGGTCTTAGGGAGAAGGATGGGGAGGTGAGTGGGAGTACCGCTCCGGAGCGAGATTCCGGGGTCCGCCTCTTAAGAGTTGCCTAAAGCCAGGGTGCCGCGCCCCCTGCCACCAGGAGGGGGTAGTCTCAGGGAGCTACTACCTTCAGCCTGCTCTCCCACTCCAGGGTGGGTTCCAGACGACCCCCTGCCACCGAAACTTGCCAGTTTGGGGTTGCCCGACACCTCAAACCCCCCCATCTCAGGATTGGAAGGCGGAGCACTGAAAGGGGGTTGGCGGGTCGGGTCAGGACAAGAGGTCAGACAGAAGAGGGAGCAAGTGGGTGGGGAAGAGAAAGAAGAGCCTGAAGTTTGATTTTCTTTTTTTCTTTTCTTTTTTTTTTTTTGGTGGGGGGGCTGCCTCCCCTGGGTAGGGAGCTCCTAGCTGGGTGTGGAGGCAGTGCTGCCTCAAATCTGGGTCCATTTTATTAAACTCTCCACCTCCACCAGCTCCACAAGCCAAGAGCTGTGGAATGTACGAATTCACTTGGGGAATGGTTAATGCCCAAGTGGGGGTCCGGAGTGCTAATCCCCTTGGGCTGGGGGAGAGATGCTAATCCTTCGGGCCCGTCGGGGCTGGTCCGGGGAATGTGCCCCCACTAGGATTATCGGCAGCGATGCTCTGGACAGAGGCTGCTTTGTATTCTACGACAGCGGGGGAGGGGTGGGGGCACAGGGGTAAAGGGAGGAGGGCTTGGTGGAGGAGCATTTTTGAGTGCAAAGCCTGGAGGTGGGAGTGAGCACCTTCAGGTGCTGAGAACAGACTCCCTATACCCCTTCTAGACCAGGTCCTCTCCCTGACAACTCTCCCCCACACTAGCCAGCCCTGGCTGAAGGCCGGCTAAGGGGGGAGGTGGAAAGATCAGTCAGCTGAGTTGGAGTTCTTGCCAGGAATGTGTAGTTGAGACTCCCCACCCTGGGCTGATTCCCCCCAACACCTCTATTTTTTGACCCTATACTAACCTGTCTCACAGCCAAGGTAACCATAAATCAGACAACCCCACCTCCGCAGCCGTTTAGTACTGTTACCTCTGGGGAGCCTTGGGTGTTGCCCTCTCTAGGAAGGGATTGACAGCGCCCCACCACCACCACCACCACCGTTTGCACTGGTTGGGTTCCCTCCACCCCCAATCACACCCTATAGTCACTGTCAGGAGGGCTGCCCTGTCACTCAGATTTTCCTGGCCCAAGGCTAGGGAGGGGAGGGATAGAGACTGCCCCTCAGGATTTCTGTGCCCACCCCCTTGACGATGTCACGTGCCCCTCCCCCAGTATAAGTCTCAGTGTCCAGTTCCTTCGTTCCTCCTACTGAGTGAGTGGAGCTGGGTTCCTTTTCTGCACTGGGAAGCCCGCTCCTGCTCTCTGTCAAGGGCTGGTGGTGCTGCTGCTCTGCCTGCCTTGTGGAGCACACCCTGCTACCTACCTGCAGGCCCTCTGCTTTCCCTTCTGGGTTTTCTCCAAACTCCTTTCTGGTCTTTTCTGTTTGGGAAGCCGGCCACCCTGGTCTCCACACCCCTCCTGCTCGGTGGGGTGTCTCGCTCCCTACCACACCCCTTTCAGGTCTCAGGCTCACCTCCAGGGCCCCTGGTCCCTGCTCTTGTGCCCTTCACTCCTGCCCCTGCTCTCTGTCGCCCCCTCCCTGTCTCTTCTGCTTTCTCTCCAGAGCTGGGCCCTCACTCTCCTTTTTCTCCCTTCTCCCCTCTCTGCCTGTCCCCTCGTCTGCTTCAGTGCCAACCCTTTTCTGCAGTCCAAGTCTTCGGTCTTCTCTTTCTACACATCACTCTTTGTTCTTGCCACCTCTAAGGGCCACTTAGAGGTTCTTTATAGCCTAGAAGGATCCTAAGTTGCAGATGACAGCTGAGGCTCCTGTCCTTTACTGAGCTGGAGTGGGGGCTGGCCTGCTCTTCACGGATGGTGACTAGCCCTTTTCCCCAATCAGGTTATGCCTCCGCCTTGTTGCCCTGAAAGCCGAAGCGACAGCGAAAAGGGCTAAGGTTTGGCCATGAGCAGTGCCCCCAGGCGCCCCGCCTTGGGCGCAGATTCTTTGCACACGGTAAGCACTACCTGCAGGTGAGCTGGCCCCAGCTCCAGTGGGGGTGGGGGGTGCAGAAACTACAAAAAAAGAGGCTGTGTTGGATTGACCGGCACTGCCATCCATATGCAGACTTTGTTGAGTGTGTGAGGATGCTGAAATGGGGAAGGGGGGGCGGGACAGGTGGCCTCCATTTGTTTGAGGAGTTGGGGCCAGTGTAGCTGCAGTTGGACAGGAGTTTGAGAGCCCTGGTTCTTAAGCCCTATTACCTTCTCTGACTGGGTCTTAACTGCATAGGCTCCCCCAAGAAGGTCTATACACCAAAGTTCTAGTCAGAGCTTGCCGGCAGCGACTGGCCCCGCCCCTGGCCCACGTGCCATCCAGGCCCGCCCTCCCCCCTCCCCAATGTGGCCACTACCCCACATAGCCCTCTTCTGATTTTCCTAAGAAGTCTAATGATTAACTCCGGTGGCACAATCAGCCGCATTATATTGGTCACTTTAGCCCATTGGGGCACGTGACTGGGAAGGGACACTGGCTGGTGCCCTCCCCTTCTTCTAGGTTTACCCTTGCCGCCATGGACTTCCTCCTACGGCCTCAGGTTCGAGGAGATGGCCCATTCCCCTCCCCACGAGCTGCTCTGGAGCTGATGCCTTGCTTGCTCCCTAGCTGCTTCCTCTCTTGACCCAGCTTCCTCCTGCCCAGCTGCTTCTGATGGGGATGGGGAGAGTGCTTGGGATGGTCTGCTGGAGCTGCAGAGAGAGGGGCTGGGCAGGACCTCCCTTCTCCAGGCCCTTGTCCATGCCACCCTGGATGTTTTTCTGTATCCCCCACCTCTACCTCTGCGAGTCTCCCCGAGAGACTGATCCTCCTCCCCGGCTCTTGCTCTATGTAGCAGCTGGTACTGCCATGGAAGGGGTGGCATACCCTGGCCTTTGGAGGTCCTGATGCCCTTCAAGTCCTGAAGCTCTTGAGCAAATAT